AAGATAAAAATTTGGAAACCCGTTGAAAGAATCGAGGATGCCATTGAACCCGGTTTCTCTTTTATCTCAATCGATTGCCGAGATTCAAACTATAAGACGGAGATTACGAGTTCTCCCAAAAATCTGACACTTGTCTGGACTTTGAGACAGGTCGGTGAAATAGATGAGAGACTTGAGTAAACGATAAGGATGAAACGATAAAATATTACCCTTTCTTTTACACGAGGATATCTCGAGAAATCGTATCGAGATGAATCGAGGAATATTTCAAAGAGGAAGATTCTGCGCTTCCAATGCGCTTTCATTCGTTGATTAAAAAATGATTATCTTAGTAGAGGCACGTTAAATTTTTTCTAATTTTAATATAGTTTGAGATAAGTGATTAATTATCTTTTCTCTATACGATTATATCTCAGGAACCGAAAGTCGTGTCGAGATAAATCAAGGAAATTATTTCAAAGGATAAGGTTTTGTGTTTCATTTATTGATCAGAAGTCAATTATCTTTCAAGTTATATATATATATATCTTAACCGAATTCCAAGATAAAAAATAAATAATAGATGTATCTATTTCTGGGAAAATATTACTTGTAGCGATGTTTAATTAATGATACGCGATAATTGAAGATAATCTAAATTGATTTAAAATTTATATTTAGTCTTTGAAATGAGTTGGATTTTTATTCAATCAATCTCATGCGAGTTTAATATTAATTAATTGATTTTTACGTGTGTTTCTTCTTCTTCTTTTTTTATATGAAATAAATTACTGTCCATGTATCTTCGGTATAATAAAATTGAAAATGAACTGGTTAACATTTGCCGAAGTTATAAAATATTCATGATACGAAACAGGCTCGTAAAAGTATCAAAATGGCGTTAATTATACATACGTTATTCTACATTAATATTGGGTTATCCGGAAATTAATTACGGCAGTATAATATAATATGGAAATGAACTTAAAATAAACTCGCTCGATAAAACGAAAAAAGAAGAAAAAAAAAAAAAAGAACCATCGTAACTTTTCAAAGATTTTTAAACTCGTCTTATTCTCTTAATAACCCAATTTCCAATGAATTTTAACGATTATACGATACACGAATGATTAATTCATAAAATTCGAAGCTTAAAAATTCACGATTACCGGATATATTCGCGTTTAATTCGACCCCCTTGTGTCACCACCAAGGTCTCTTCTCCAAGCCACGAGAATCAAGCCTTCGAGTCGAACACCCTCCTCGACCTTTGCCTCGACCGGAGGGTCGAAATTCTCGTGTCTTAATTTTTGCCACCCGATTTACCTCTCGCGAGCCGATCGCGGGGGTTCAATTTCACGGCGTGGCGAGCCGTGCAACACGGCGAAACGGCGCGTGACCCAGTTAACCCGCTCGTTTCCCGGCGCATCGACCCGAGCAAGCGTTTATTAAGGATGGCAAAAGGGCGCGAGAGTCGCAGAGTGGATGGGAGGGGCCGGCCGTCGCAAGGGTAAACGTCCCTTAATTAAGTTGTCTAGCACGCCAGACCAATTCATCGAAGCTTCTTTATCCAGAGAGAGGGAGAGAGAGAGAGAGAAGGAAGGATCGGTTGCTGATGCGAAATCGATGTCACGATGCCTCGAGAGAGAGGACATCGCGTGTTTCCCTCTCTCTCCCTCCTCGTTTCTTGTTCTTACTTCTTTCTCTCTTTTTCCTTCCTTCCTTCCTCTATTTTTCCGTCTTCCCTTCTCGAGGGAGATGTTCAATAAAAATTCCTCGAGAGCCTCGACCGGCAGGAAATGTCGTCGGTGGTGCGCACGTCGAGTCCTCTCGCGGAATCGAAGCGGAATTCCGTTCGAAAACGAGGAGTGGAGGGGGAGGGGGTGACCAGACGACGACGGGACGCCTTTTTAAATTCCCCGCATAGCGGACATAGAGGGAGAAGGACGATCCCGGTTGTTCCGTTCGAGGGAGGGTTGGAACGAGTGGAGTGGAACACGGAAAAGTACGTTTGCCCGTGCAAATATCGTTTATCGAATGATAATTATGCGGCTAGTAAATAAGCAGAGGGTCGAGAGGGAGAATTTCGCGTCGAATTTGTTTGGCGATGCGTTGCGATGATTATATAAATTCCACTGGATTTGAATTACGAAGAATGTTTTTAAAAATCGTTTACACGGATGTTGAATTAATCTTGGGAAGTACTTGGTTGGAAATTAATGGCAATATGAATGTTATTCGTTGGGAAACAGACGAATTCTTGAGGATGAAATAAGATACTATATATAAAGAATCTTTCTAGCCTTTAATCTAGGGATCCCTAGAATTTCTAGGTTCGATAACCTGCAACCTGTTAAGTTTAAAATGTTTAGGATGGTGGGAAAAATGAGTAACTGTAAAGGATTTGGGAGGATGTATAGGAGGGTAGAGCCGACGCTGTAAATAACATCGTCGAAACGAGTCGGGACGATTTATCGCGTCAATTTTTCGCCGTAAGGAAAGGCATTCGGTTTATTTCGGTAATAATGGTGACTGGAGATTCCTTGGACAATAAAAGAAGACCTCCTATTTTCTAAGGGAAAATATATCGCGTTTATTTTGACCGAATTGATCGTATCAACTGTAACAATGCGAAAATAGAGAAATCTCTCTTACCGAGATCGTAACGTTACAATTCTTCCAATTCTTCTAATTTTCGAAAAATGACACGAACGACAATAAACATTTACGCGAGTATCAAGTACAATAATTAATATCCTCAAATAATCTCGAATAGAGTCAAAAATATCTCGAACTTAAATCAACATATGACACGATTTCGATCGAACACCAATAAAATTATTACACAACAAAATGAAAAAAGAATCCTACCACGCGAATTAATTTCGATCGATTCCTATTTAAATTCTCTATTTAAAATTTACACGCTTTGAAGCCCGAATGACGCGCTCGTTGAACTCGATCGACGCATACCTTGGCGTTGGACCGTGCGAGATCCTTGAACGCCGGCGTCCAAGGAATTTCCATCGAAGGCTCTTTGCCGAGGTGTCGCGAATTACTTCCATCGCGGAATTTTCATCTCGGCCCCCGCCGAGTCAGCTGCCAGTCCGCATAATTTCCATTCCTCCATTTGTTTAATTACGCCTCGCCACCTCGAGAGCTCGCGTTATCGAGCAGGGCCAGGATGATCACCGCGGAAAGAACTCTTCTTCTCTCCCGGATGCGAGAAAGAGAGAGAGAGAGAGAGAGTAAAGTCCTCGTCAAAGGCGTCTTTGACAATTCCAAACCCGTTCCACCAAGATATTGCGGAGAGAAGTTGGGGCGGGGATCGGTAATGGAATTGGAACTAGCCCTCGAGGATCGATCGCAATTTCGCGAGGTTTTGAATCCGAGGACGATTCGGAAGCGCACGTTGAACTCGATCGAGTATTTTGTATAGTTGATTAATATACAAATCTCTGAGGAATCTTTGCTGATTACGATAATCACGATTATTAAGTTTGAACGACGATTAAGACACCGAATTTCGACCGAATGTTTTATTTGATCCAAGAATTAAGTAGAAGCGAAAAAAAGTACATACAGTTCGTTTAATTAATAATTCGTTTCCCTATTTATCTTTTCTAACAACTCGTAACAAAGATATGCCCGGTTAATTAGATAAAAGGGGGAGGAAATTCGCTTTAATTAAATTCCGAAATTTAAAATCTACGAGAGAAATCTGAAGTTAAACATTTAATAAATGTATATACGCGAAATGAATTTTAATGCACGATTTAGTATTTTTCAAATGAAATATTTTTCTACGAATTAAATTGTAGATTCGATATTATCAAGCGTATTAATAACTTTTTCAATAGAAAGAAAAGACTTCTCGTCTCTGTTTCATCGTACAAAAATTCACAAATATTCGGAAATAATATATAAATGATGAATGCACACGTATAACAAACACTAACTTTACGCAAATATCACAGCGAATCGAAATCATCGTACGAATTACACGCAAAAACGAAGACAAAGGGGGAGTTTCGTTTGGAGGGAAAAGATCACGAGGGGGGGACAGATCGTGGTTTAAGCCAGTTTTCATGACAGAGGACGCGCATTAGCGGGTGTTAATGTTACGCAACGGGAAGTGGAACTCGATGTATCGCCCGAGGGAGAGGCGAGGTTTAAAACTAAACGCAGTTAAATCGAGTGTGCGTGTTGCACACTGTCGCTATTAACGTATTGTTCCACGCTTCCCAACTCTAATCCTTTCGTTGTTCGAGAAGACAGATTATCTCTGGTGGAAAGGAATGAGACGATTGATGATGGACGATTCTTAACTTTAGAATCGAAACCAGAATCGATTCGATTTTCGTCCAAATCGTTGGACGAGATATTACGAAGTTCTGGCGAAAAGAAGAGACATCGCGAGAAATCTCATTCATCTCCAGCCAACATTGATTGATCTCGTTTCTGAGAAGGATGAAGAGAACCGTTGCGATCTACGTTGCTTTTTCGTTCGTGAAAAAATTATTCCGGTTTTTAATCGGTGCTTCTTCTGCTTTGATGCTTTGCAGTTCGACGATGAAAGAAATTTTTTAAATATTTTCAAATCACGAATATTTAATTTTAAAAGTAGAAAATTAATATTGAGATTCGCGAATGAAAATTTTCTTTTTCCCCAAAAATTGTAAATATTTAGAAAGTTGATTTGTATCCCGCAAAATCGATAGAGATGTAATTTAAAGGAGGAATTCATTGCAATATTCCTGGAAAATTACTTATCCGACAAACTTCTTCGAATCACAAACATTTCCAATCTCTCTTTCATCTTCATGAAACGAACAATGCCCAAAGATCCTTTATCCTCCAACTTTCGGATGAATTTCGACTTGATTAAATTCACCTCCATATCTTTCCTCGAGATTTAGCCACGAATTTCAAGGCATGGATTTCTTGGAAAATTGAACAGAATCATTACTCGAAACCAACCGATTCATAACGTGACATAATTCCCTCTTGTGTTGTTACAGATTTCTGCCAACCTCGTCCCGTCCACCTCTACTTCCTGTAGCCAGGTGAGTGACGTTAATCACCGATGAAAACATATACATTGCACCTCGTAGAAAATTATCTTCCTCGTGTAAACAATTTTTAAAACGAGCTATAATCAAGTTAAAATATCTCTTTCGCAAACACGTGTCAAGATATGAACACTGTTGACACAATTGCAACGTTTCATTGTTGTCATCATTTACGTGTATTTAAGAAGAAAAATAATAAACAGAGGATAATAATTATTATCCTCGATCGAACGAAGATACATCTGCTGTTTCGAATGCGAAAGACGAAAGAAAAAAAAAAAATAAAATTGTACTTTCGCGAGAGAGAAATTGAACAGACGATAGTCGAAGGCAATTAGACAGCTGTCAAACACGAGGTAAAATTTCTACGCGAATGGAAAGCGGTCCAACTGCTGGGAACTGCGTAAACTCGGAATATTATTTACTCGACAAACTGCTTTCGGTAGCTTTCGCCCCTCGTGCAGTTCCGCGCAAACACGACTTCTTAATATTCCGTTTGTCTTCGTCCATCGGCCAACTTTGCAGGCTTCGTTTTTTATTCGATATTAGTTTCCAATGATAATATTAACCATTTTTACTCTCGATAAAAGATGAGAAGATTTTTCAAAGAATTTGAAACGAAAAGTTTCAAAAGAGAAATGCACGAAACAAAGTATTTCAATCCGTTCTTGAACAAAAGAAGTAAATAGGAGAACGACTTAATATTTTTCAAAGAATTTGAAATCAAAAGTTTCGAAAGAGAAATGCATGGAACGTCTAAACACATTATTTCAACCCCTTTCTTAAAAGTGTAACGAAAGAAGTATACATAGGAAAACGACGTGTAATATTTTTTATCGTGCAATTAATGCAAATGAAAATTTTTCTCTTACCTCGTCTATCATAATTATATGCATTCCGAAAAATTAAATAAAACAAAAGCGTAAATAACGCGTTGCACATCGATACATAAAAATTGAAATACGACGATTAGACAGAGAGTGGAAGTCCGCGATGATCTCGTACGAGAAATGGGTGGGAAAACAACGTCAAAGGGTCGAGCGAGAGACAAGAGTTGCACAGGAGGAGGAAAATGCGCCAACGTATGTCACGTTTCGTCGAAAAGGATGACACGACACGTCTCGCGCCACGTATGAGGGGGAACGAGAAAGAACGAGCGAGATGATTGCGTCTGAAATTGGTAGGGAGGGGTGGAGTCGAGTCGGGGACAGTTGGAGAAATACCAGGGGAAAGCAATTTTTAACGATGCGTCTCCTCCCTTCTTCTCCTCCTCGAAACACGACCCTTGCCGCAATAACTCCACGCCCGATGCAAAAATTGCTATATCGAGCAAGAGATGCTTCCCTCCTTCGATCGTGGATTAAATTTGTCGCAAAATCGTACATCGAAATACAGTTACTCTAATTATTATCACGAAGAAAGATTAAGAGATGTTGAATTTTAATTCTGCTTGCTTACAAGAAGAGCCACTGATCGATTCAAATTTAGAGTAAAAAGAAAGAAAAAGGAATCCAGTGGCCTAGTTCCTTCCTTTGGTTTCTACTTTCTTCAAAACTTTTTTCCATAGAGAGAAAATTCAAAAAATAATTCCTACGATGCACCACCCCTCGATTCAAAAGTATGGAATCGCGCATTGCATTCTCGCGGAAAAATTCACTTTGCCATTTGTCCCTCAACGAATCACTTTTCCCTCCTATTTCTCTTCCATCTCGCCCCAATCTCCTTTCAGCTTTCTTTCCAGCCTTCACATCCCATCTCTAGCATGGATGAAATAACACGGGAAATAAAACGGCGGTCGAAGGAACAACGGCCACGTGTCGCAATAAAAGTGGACGTGACGGTCGAACGATGCGACTTCCTCGAGGTAGCAGCGTTCGTTCGAACGAAAACGTTGAGGGCGTCGAGGGCTCGTTTCTTTCTATCGTTTAAAATGCGAGGTTAGAACGGTAAGCGATGCGAGAGAGAATGATTGGGATCAAAAGGTGTTTCATATAAAAGTGTATACAGAATCTTGGAAAATTGTCACAGAAAGAAATCCATCGAATTTCCATATTCGCCAATAATACTCCTCGAAAATCGTAAGATCGTGTCTTTTCTTTTTTAGAATTGATTTTCAACAAATTTTAAATTATTCGCCTCTAATTTTACCCCTCAATGCGAGGTTAAATTTAGAGAGAGAGAGAGAGAGAGAGAGAGAGAGAGAGAGACGCTCGAAGATCATTAATTAGAGGGATGCAACGGGAGAAATGGGTGGTGAAAAGGGAGGAAGTTGGGATAAACCAACTACTCCATTTCCGGTTCAAAAGGGACAGGGCGGTCTAAAGGAGCGCGTTAAAAACTCGGGCGGGAAGAAAAGCGGTGAAGAGGGGAAAAGCGGCGGGGGGGAGGGAATACGCGGAAAGGAAAGGCAGCGGCATCTCTAGAGAGTGGAACGAAGGAGGGAGGAGCAGGGTGGAGAAAAGCGAGTGAAAGAAAAGCGAGAGAGGGGGTGAGGGCACGCAAAAAGGGGCGGGGAGGGGATGAAAAGCGAGAGGAGAGTCTGCATCACCTTGCATTCCACTTGACGGCACTTCTGCGTCGTCGCCTGCTGCTTCTTTCCGCTCCTCTATTTTCCGTGTTGCAACGAGCGATCCGATCCGGGGGAAAGTTTCGAATCGAGTCTGGTTTAAGCAGCCGCATCGACGATCACGAAAAGATGATCTTGCGACGAGTTTTCTCGCGCTGTCGCCCTCCCAACGAGTCGGCCACGCGGTTCTTAATGCGCCTCCTTTCGTCAACCCGAGGCTTCGTCGTCAAATGATCATCCCGCTTTCTCTAGTGAAAATGTAATGAAATGCGACGATCGTAGATGTTAAGAAATGGTCGTTTGGAGGGTTATCCATTGAAATAGGATTGAAACAGGATTCGAATATTTTATCTTGAAGATTTGCTTTTTAATTCTTCATCTATTCGCGTAGTAAACTAATTAAAATGTTCATATACAAAAAAACAAAAATCCATCAAATTAAATTAAATAATAAAATGTTATCGTAAAACCAAAAATTTTCATTTATTTTTATTCAATCAATTTTTATATTGATACATATACATGTATGTATTCAATCAAACAAAAAGAGAAACACTTGATATATTAAAAAAAATATCAAAAAAAAAAAAAAATAACGTATCAAAAAGCAATCATTGAATTCGATAAATTACAAATTTCAAATTTATTATTAAAAATCGAAAAATCCCCTTTCATTTATACCTCGATGAAAGAAAAAAAAAATATCAATCTACCAAACTATTCATTATCTATTTATCTATTTTCCATTCGATTCGTTGAATGCAACGAAAATGATCGAGACAAGCACGATCCAATCTCTTCTCGTAAAAAGAAATCACGAAACGATTCTCTCCTCTCCACATCCAAGAATCATCGTGCTTACGAATCTTTTTATTCTTCATCCTTTAACTTCCCCCCCTTAAAAAAAAAGAATGCCCTGCGAGTAATCGAGAAATCGAGCAACCGACGACGCAACCCGACCATTCACCGCTCTTTGTTTCACGCGAGAGGAAGCAGGGGGGGGAGGGAGGAGGAACACGTCATCGAGCAGTCGGTCACGAGCAGCAGCTCGACGATCCCCGGGGGTGCGGTTGAACCGGCGTGCAACGAAAACAAACCCGTGCTCGCCCGGGTTTTAACGCTGGATCCCGTCTCTCTTCGATCCACGAAATTAAAGACGTTTCGTTATCAGCAGCGAGCTGAACGAGTTTATATCGTCGCCGGGGGTCCAGGAAATCCGCAATGCGGAGACATCCGAGCTGGACCCGCTTAAAAATTACGAGCCGCAGCCGGGCTCGAAACGACGAAACTTCCCACGTCCATTTCCGAAATGTAAATCTCGAACGTGAATGGAAACCGTGCTCGTCGAGCTTAAAGTTACACACGAACGTCGCGAAAGGAAGAAGAAAGGTTTTGGGAGTGGGAAAAAGATTTTGGGTAAGGAGGAGGAGGATTTATGATCGATGAAGATCGGTAGTTTTGATCAAGGAATTTGTATAAAATTGTTCGTACGTGGTATTGCAGTTTGGTCGGAAATTTTTTTCCATCTTTAGCTATTCTGAAATATCAAGTAAATATCGATGAGCCTGATATTTTTGCGGATGTATATAATATCGTATGTAATAATCACGGGGTGTAAAATTGGGGAGACAATTTATTGTAACAGTGATAGATAGGGTAGAAGATTTAAGACTGGATGGAAGAATGTAAGAATTTTGGAAAATATTTCAAAGCGTATGTGGGAATTGTTTACAATTAAAAAACACCCGAGTTATAACAAGGTTGAGATGAAAGATTTATAAAGGTCAGGGTGAAAGATCACTAAGCTCGGGAACATTGGATAGAAAAGTTGGTGTGGCGAAAAGTCAAGGTGATAAAACTCGTCGTGAGAAGATCGAGGGCGCGAGTTCGAGATTAAGAAACTTTGATCTCGGTAAACTTTAACTTGACAGGTCGCAAAATTCACGAGTTTAAAATTTCTGGTAAACGTGCTGCTTTTGAAATTTTTCAAGATAAAGGAAAAAAACCTTTAAACCTCTTTTTTTTTTTTTCATATCGAAAACTATCTCTCCTTTGAAATCTTAGAATCTAAAAATCTTCGCCCTTGAGAAGCAAAGTCTTCGATCTTAGAAGCCGAAGAGAGACACTATCTCGTCTTAAAAAATTAAACCAGGAGGAAATTCCAACGACCTTGAGCCATGAAACCTCTGGAAAATATTTGCACTCGATAACACCCACCCATGCTTTGAGAAAGAATAAAAAAGATATAATATTTATGGTGAGATAATTTGTTAGTTGTTTCCTTATTGTTAACAGTTCTGTTATTTTTCTACTGGCTCTCATCAAATTCAAATGTTTTGTTTTATTTATACAAATGATTCCTCGAAACTGATAAATGATTCACTCAAAAATTATAATATACTTAAGTTGCCAATTTTCGATCATCTTT